TTTTACACAACGTTCAAATACAGAAAGCTCACCAAGTTCATAAATGATGAACAAATTGAAAGGTTTCAGGAGTGTCAAAGTAATGAAAAAAGTGAAGAGAAAATAAAAATATTTAACCATAAAATTCATTAATTCAAGAATAATTCATAATAGTATCGACCTAATTTCTGGTCTTTTGCCACGGTTTGCATTTCCTCTCTAGTCATGATTCAACCCAACTTTCTCTCCCTCTGATTGGTGACCTGAAGGTTTGAACTTTCCTTCATGTTGTTGTTTAGTCTGAAGCTTCTGGCTTTTAAAGTCCGTTCATATTCAGAATTCAAACTTCTTCAATCTAATTCAGAGTCATTTTCATGTGAATGTGCTTTACTGGAGGCATCCATGTTTGTCAAAGAACACTACTGCCACCTACTGGTTAGTGACATTGTCACGGTGCGGTATCGGCTGTTGATCAAGTCCCAGTGCTGTATCTGGTGTTTGTCACAACGCGCTATTATCCAAGTCATCTTGAAAACATTGATAATTACTGCTGACCGAACATTTCCTTTAATAAACACTGCAGCTTCAATCCTATTGTGTTTTTAATAAAAGAGCCAAGCAACAGAGGAAAACAAAAGGCTCTCATCTGGTACCTGGCTGCCATCGTTCAGAGGTGAGCAGATCCAAACCTCACTGTAACTTTCATAGTTATGTGTATGAGTAAAAAATGTCATTTATTTTTATGTCATTTAAAAAACTGTTAATTTTCCCTTAAATGAGCCGATAAGTACGAGAATTTAGAATAAGATTATTTACATTTAAAATCCATAATTAAATTTAGGTTTACATTTCAAAACGAAAAAATCAAATATTGTATTTCAAGTGTAGAATAAGTAATTATCTTATTCTAAGGAAAGAAATGTTCATTTCAGTGGCAGATTGTCTTGTTTAGCTGCTCAAACTAGAGGCAAATATAGACATTTAATACATTTTTTACTGCATAGTTAGATCAGCTTTAGCAGTGTGTTGTGATTCTCTGTAGAGGATCACAGTCGATACAGAGATGTCTTTATTTATTCATTTTTACTGTCTTCATATCACCAGATTAATGTGTAAAGCTGCTTTAAACATGCAGCGCTCTAGATTCCACAGCATTTCAGAGGAAGCAGCATTTATTAACATGGTCTAATAAATCTGACAGATCAGACAGTAATTGTGAACCGAATAGCTAATGACTGCTGCATATTCAGCTGAAAATAGCAAACTCAGCCCTTTGTGATGCATTGACCTACCTATGATAAAACTACTTGAGGGGCAACAATAAAGCAAGCAATGTGAAAAAAGAGACAATGGTTCCCATTTATCAACCGGCTTATGTTAGGAAAATGGGTGCAGGGGGATTTACTCTTTACTTCCAGTGTGGGGAAACGCTCAAACTTTTTATTGAGTCTCTGATCGAGCATTTTCGTCTTTGGACTCTGAAATAATCAAAGAACAGATATTTACAGCTTTGCAGACAGTTTTAGGTTAGTAAAAGTCATGATTCCAAACTGAAACTTGTCCTGCGAACATTTTGGTGCCTGACTTTTTAATTATGTTGAAGCTTTATGTTTTCTGTTGTTTTTTTTCTAAAATTTACGATGGAGTAACAGGCCAGGCAATACATTTTTTTTTTTTTAAATACGAGACCCGCGGGTCTTTAAAAAGCCTTAAAAGGCATTGAATTCTTCAAAATAAAACTAAGGCCTTAATTGGTATTAAAATGTCTTAAATCAGTCTTTCGTAGGTCTTAATTT